TAAAACTCAATTCTTTTTTAATAATTTTAGCTGACAATTTTTTAAGTTGCAAAAATATTTCTGTAAATAAAGGTCAGGAGTATTTTAATGTTATTGTGCGAGTCACAAAGCCTTGAACAGAAAGGACAATACTCCAATTTCGAGTTCTGGTTTGCTCTGTGTTAGCCTCGAAACCAAATAACATATTCTTTTGTTTTATTAATAGCCTGTGAAAACGCATGGAATTTGAAAAGAAACTGACAATAGTATTGATTTGAAATCTCACACTTTTATTCTCACGATTAGGAATATTTTGCGCACAAATGAGGCTAACACAGAGCATTGGAGAATTCGAAACTGGATTATTTCAGGAAGCAGTATTCGAGATGTGACTCTAGTGCACAGGTAGCCCAAACTATGGCTGTTGTTCTCCATCGCTCAAAATTTAAGGAAATGGCGTGAAACTTTGCGGAAAAATGCGATGTTTTTATTATATTTTAGATATTTCTAAAAAGTACACAAATGCCTAGCTTGGGCTCTCTGTGTTAATTGGTGCTTTCATCCGCCATTGGTATGTTGAATGTTTCATTTGAAATGCCTGCCCGAGGATATTGGGCTGGGGCAACTGACGGGAATTCCATGTCTAACGGGAATTTCAATTAGATGTCAGTTATTTTTGCAAGTTCTTTTCCCTGTATTTGTCTTTGCAGCGTATGAAGTTTTCATAGCGCAAATCCACAATCAAGTCTCTTCAATACCGTGATACCTTGCGGCCCTTTAAGTCATAACGGATCAAAGATGGCAGCKTATGTATTTAACTGTACTTAACTTAACTGGCGGCTTACTTGTACTGATGTGATAAGTGTATAATAACCCAGAAGGCGGGCTCCGTTACTCGGTATTTTTAGCGCCGAAAAAAAAAACCGAAACAGATTTGGAAGCGGATTCGAAATAGACATTTTCGAATATTTGTGATAGTTTGTGTATTTGATATTTAACCTAGACGGCTAACTACCTTAATTACTCATTCGACTAAGGAAACATATACTCTCAAATCACGACCTTTGGGTCCTTATTGAAACTTATGCTCTGTGGTTATAAAATTACATATCAAACTTCACAAGAAGATAAGGTAAATATTTCATCTTATCATATAATTATCTATGAAATACCTATTTTTCTCCATTTCGTAAAATTGATATTTTCACTAGTGAAAATAACACATTCGAGGTTTCTCTATTGTATTAACAACATTTTCTCGTGCTTTCTTTTGTCTTTGGTAAGTTCTTTGCGTAATAGAATCTGCTGTCAAGTAAAACAGCGGTTATTCGCTTTGAATTCGAAACTGGAGTATTATATGATAAACCTATGAGAGATCTTTTTAACACTCGAAGATAAAATCCGTATCTCCGCGCGCCCATGTAATATCGATATCCTCTATGTATTCCGGAATAGCAATATAGATGCGGATTTACAATTTGTAAATCATGCGTCGTCAGAATGTTTTTGCTTTTTCTTTTGATTTTTTTATTTGTTTTTTTTTTGTTTTTGTTTTTTTGTTTTGTTTTTGTTTTGTTTTGTTGTTGTTGTTGTTGTTGTTGTTGTTGCCATCCTTTTTTACATACTTTGCCGATTTCTTCCTGACTTTCTTCTTTGTTCATTATTATGCTATAAAATTTATATGTTATCCAAGCTTCTGTTAAATGATTTCAATTAAAATCTTTTTAGCTCCCGCAAAGTCATTATATATAAAAAATATGGATGGCATTGACGCATATGTCTTTTAAACTGACATGCTAATTACTTTTTTCTCTAATATTGATCGTTTTCAACCATCCTCATGAGATTCAAAAGATAAAAGACTGGCGACCATGTTGGAGGAATGAACAATAGATACTAATTAGAAATCCGTCGTTGAAGCTCCTCCAAGATGGCTGCAGTGACGTATAGTGTTAAAACGAAGAATTAGTCCTCAACACATGGAGCATTCGACGTCCAAAAAGACTGTTGATGAAGAAACTTAGTGGTTTCTTAACAAAACCAAAAGGCGATTCAATCAAGATTACTTGTTTTATTAGCTTACCACTAAGCATACTTTAATTTCTCAATCTGACATTTATACTTTGTGGCACATCACTCTAAATCGTAAGTAGTT